CCCACCTTGAACCGAAACCCGACCTACATATTTTTTTTATAATTCACCAAAATCACTGAAGACAAGGGGTTGACTCACGTATTACAACCCCCTTTTCAGGGTGGCATTGCCACTGACGTCACAGGCACGTGCCTCTTGCAACGAGCAGGAGGGTAGAGAAAAAAAGGACTAAATCCAGCCCTCCTCACTGGCCGTCCCACAGCACAGAGGGTAGGTGGCTAAGGGATGAGGGTGGCACGAGAGGTGAGTCAAGAGGCGAGCCACAGACCGTAAGTATTAAATAAATCTCTTTAAGCGGATTAGAGACTGGCTTTCCGGTATTTTAACACCAGGATTCCACGTCCCAACGGCAGATTAGTCCAAGTCAAAAATCGCATTCTTCCTCGTCCTCGCCGTACGCCTTTTCAATGTTCTCACAACAACAACGAAAATTCGTAAATAGCAAAGAATCAGCCAGTCGACATAATTGCGACGATTGCCTTTTAAACGAGGACAAAAAATAATAGTCCAATGAACTCGTACGTCAAAGTGACGTAACTAATCGAGGAAAAAAAAACAATCGTCCCCACTCAGCAATCGAGCCTCCGTGCATATACATAGTATCGTACATCCTACATATCCCAACCGAGTGAAATAATTCAACAGCTCAGAAATTGCGACGTATTCTAATAAAGAAGTTGACGGCAACGTCACTTCTGTCCCACTAGGATTACTGTCATCGTCACGAAAAGAAAAAAAAAAAGAAATTACAGACACCCGTTCATTTCCCATGATACGCACTTTTGTACGTCGATCGCCAATGATTTCTCCCGGCAACCCGTCGAAGCAGTCGGGTAAAACACAGAAGCCCCGTAATTCCAAAATTCACAGAGTCCCAGGGCTAGCAGAGCATTAGCTCGTATGTATGTATGTATATATATATATATATATATATATATATATATACAATATAAAAGGTGTCACTATCCTCGTAGCAATGAGAACTGCATTAAGGCCAATTTCTATGGTATTACCATTAACGTTTTTACGCTCGCATTAAAGATTGAACGAGCTGTAATGACTTCGGCAAACCGTAATGCGCTATTGCCACTGTTATCGATATCAAGACCCGTGGATTATTATGGTGAAAAGAGAGAGTGCGCCTGCGATAATAATAATGACGGGGGTAAGAAGAAAGGAGGGCAGAGTAAGAGAGAAGTGTGATAAAGGTAAAAAAAAGCAACCATTCGTAACCCAACGACGTAACCGATAGGATTGGTCAGGTTTTTAGAATTCCGAACTAAAGGACGAACGGTGGCGCCATCTCTTCGGAAGATTCTCGAAGCACGATGCTGGCCGTCATTATTGATTCGAAAAGTTTCTCGCACTCTTCTCCCGGGTACAGCTTGTTGTCGCTGACGACACGACGACGATGCTGCGTCAGATTTCGCAAAGTTTTCCACGAGGTAAACGTCGACCGGGCGAGAAAGAACTGTTACGTGGCGTGAAGCGTCGCGACGCCTGGTCTACGTTGGTCGCGATATGAAGTAAAGTAGCAACTAAACGGTACGGGGAGAGGGTAAAAAAGGTTATGGTGAAAGGGAATGAGGGGAAGATAAACACCCCGGGGGGGGGGATATGGAGTAGATGCAACCTGAAGTAAAGATCTAGCTATTGCAGGGGGAAGACGTTAATAATTTGGTAATAAGGGTGAACCTTCGGGGGGGGGGTTGAAGGTGGGAAACTACCCCTTTCTAGTAGGAGGGAGTTTATCTTATTCAGTAGGGGGTGTCCCTCCTTGCAAGGACTCGGCGTCGCCTACAACAGCGGCGGCAACCTCCGGAGGTGCCTACAGCCTGAATACCACCCTCGAATGCCACCCCCCCCCCTTTTCCAAGGAGAGTCGCTGCTCTCGCCGTTGGCTAAATAGCTAACTTCGCGCAACTATCCCAATAGATTATGATTATTGTGGAGGAAAGCTCTGATTTATGCAATTATCATAAATTTAGCCCCCACTTCCCTTGTCTCATTCTGCCACCTTCCGTATGCTCAGGGCGCTTCTATGCCTGTACGATTCTCTGGCTCTATTCAAAGGGATTTCAATGGCGAGTTATTTACCTCCCTTCAAACCCTCCTTAGCGTCCTGCCGATGTCTAGCAGACGCAGGAAGAAAAAGACGGCCCTTCGGGTGAGTATTGCATCCGTCGTGCGTGTTGTTGATAATAAATTTAATTTTTTATAAATTTGTTGACGTTCTTATGGCATTAAGTAAAAAATATTTCAGAAAACTTAAAGTTTAACGATCGACAATGATAATGTAATTAATAATTCATTAAAAGCAAACAATTTTATATAAAAAGTGTCTAAGGGATGACAAAATTTACCCGGTTGATAATTCAATGAAAAACTGACTGACTTGTCGTGCGAGGATGTTGCGAAAATTTTCCTTGCAGTCGGTATTCGCCCCTTTGAGAAATGAGAATTTCTACTTGAAATACTCTTAGGATATTGACCGTTCCGCGGATGGTAACTATAGGAAATGCCGGATAAGGGTAGCAAAACGAGTATCATTGATTTGAACGAAATCCGTTGGTAAGGAAGTCTTCAGTTTTACCGACCAACGATATATTCAAGGACAGTCACGACGCTGTTACCTCACGGTACGTCGATACGAGCCCATCGATTTTCCACGGAAAAAATAACGAAGCTCACCCGTGAATCCACACGAGTAAAGTTTTACTACCACCCCCTCGTTCTCCTCCCTCTCCTCCCCGGCCCCTTTGACAACACCATCGACATCAGTAAACCCCGGGAAAACTACCCAGCTAAAACTTTGCCAACTTCCCCGCCGACTGGCGGCTCGCGGCCGCGCCATGAGAAACTTCCTAACAAACTTTAAAAATCGTTACTTCTTCAAGGGATGACGTATACAGGGTTATCCAAACTTAAACATACCAATCAAATTTGACAAGTTATTTAACAATTTAAATTAGCGATTGATCCATTAAGTTGACTGTGTACGACCGGTATAATTTTTTATAAATATTAAAACAGACGCCACGAACCGTGTAAAAATTCAAATTTTCTAATCTACGCCAATACGATAAATTTGATAAGAATTAGAAATGACCTTGAAGGAAGATAAACCCCCTAGGCGCTCCCATTACACAGTACTTCAATTTTATTTACCCCAACGTACTCGGGATAACGCACAAAAGAGTGTTAAGAGTATTAAAGATCGAAAAAAAGAAAACTTAAATTCCAAATATAAAAAGCCATAAAGTCAAAGACTAATCGCAAGCGAAGCATCGGACACAGCTTGCGGTGCAAAAATGATATCCGTACTAAGGGACAGCTTAATCGCCGATGTGACGTTAAAGTTTTAAAAGTTCACCCCGATCCGACCAACTTCAAATAACCAGCCACCCCTAGCCCCATGATCCGTACTGAAACGTTTATTACGAGCAATAATAACGTCCCACTCCCCGTCTCGCTCTTTACCCCGGAATGATCAATATAACATAGAGATACGTTGCCCGATGACAAAGTGGAGCGTCAGCGCTTTATGTCCTCACAAGCATTTCGCCCAACGACGCGAAGCGTCGCGTACCAGAAACTTCGCCATAAGAGAAACTCCAAGTTACAGTATTCTAAACTAATCTGATACCAGTGGTGCTACCAGCGCAACCAAAAGCATCCGAACAACCCAAACTAGTAACAAGTGACGAAGTAGTCCTACTAGTAGCACTGGGTATAGCTATCGGTACCGCTATCAGATCACTCAGTACGAATAGACGTATCTAAAACGACGTATCGATTGCATTCTGCACCAAAACCAAAAAGGCCCGCCCTAACAAATCCGGAACCAGCATAAATCGGCAACACAGCTAACAAAGGTACCACAGGTCGACTCCCACCCAGTAATCCCCAGGAAGCAAATCAGACGGAAGCCGATACACTTCGACAAATATTTTAACGCGCAGTGGTAAGGGCCAACTATTGTCGGGTCGATTAATCGTGCTTTTCCTCCTTTCCAGCCCCACTGGGTAACTATCCCCCTCATCGGCCCTTGACGAATACTCTACATACACGGACCAGCGACACCCCCCCCTCGCCCTCCTATTTTCTGCACCCACTGGGTAACGTGCCAATTGTCCCAATCGATCACCCGCACTCGGTCGATACGAATCTGTAAAGCCGGTAATCCCGTATTAACTTTCCATCCGTATTGTCCCATTGTTTCTTCGCTGTTCCTCTTATTAAATTCTAGTTTCACGTTTCAACTGCTCTCGTCCCTTCTATCCGCAAGACCAGCCCGGCATAGTTACCCTTCCTGATATCTCTTTCCGATTCTCCTCTGGTTCTCTCTCGCACTTATCCTTTCGGTCCAAGCGTAATTATCGGCTGGTAAATATTTGAGAATCTCCGTGCGGCACGAGTAAACGCCTCGACGTTCCTGGTTCGCTGTGGGGTGTGTAGTAGGCATTAATAGGGGGTAGTGATGGGTACTAGAAGAGAGTAGCTACTCGTAAAGGGAGGCACATAGCCTGGAGGGTATTTTGTATATATATAAATGCATATACGCATATACCATACCGAGAACCATACAAGGAGCCATTTGACTTATCCAAGGGATACCAAGTGGAATATCCATTATCGACACAGACCAAGTTCCGGCGTCTGCTTTAATCGCGAGGAAGTCGCGGCGTCGAGCGTCCAGAGGCTCGCGCAACCAAACGATTACTTATCTGTATTGATTGCCGGCTAAAGCGGACGGCGAGACAAAAGAAGCTCGGTAATCAGTTAATATCCAGCATGGCAATCCGCCCACCAACGTATACCAAGTTAGTCTTTTTTTTTTAATACCTTGGTAACAGTGCTCGAGGGTGATTTGAGTCCTTATTAAAAAATAAATAATTAACGTGCAATAGCCGTACGTATATACATGTACAGAGTGTAAAACCATAAGTCGCCTGAGTTAATTTTCCTTTTTTAATTTTTTTTTCTATCTCTTTACTTACCTTTTTCGGCGTTGGATGTAGAATCGTGATGGGCACGTGTCGAGCGCCGGTTGTCAAGTGGGACGCTCCGTGACGCGATTCCTTGCTGGAGGATGACGAAGGCGACGGCGATTCGCGGCTACCGGATGTCCTGCTTGACGGCAGCTCAAGTAGATGCTGTATCGTGTAATTCTGTCTGGTCCTCTTCGACGTCATCCTGTTGTTCGATGAAACCGGAAATTGAAAAACGAAAAGAAGTTTCAGTGTTTACATCTCGGCATTGAAATACGTGCTTCGTCTTATTGTATCGATAAGCACAGTTTGTAGTAAGAAATAAAGAGAAACAAGGTAACTATGGAAGATTGTATTTCCTTCGCTGGGAATTAAAGTCGTGATTCTGGAAAAAGGGAGCGAATGAGTGAGTGAGTGAAGGGATCAACGGGGGGAGAGGGAGAGAGAGAGAAGATATAGAAGAGACAATCCCGCGGTGGAAACGACGCTCTTATTCCGCCCGTAAAGTAGCCGCTCTGATTTACTGCCCGTCGCTACACTCCGCTAAGCAAAACGAAGGCTATTGGCATCCCCCCCCCTTGGCCCCCCTTAAAAATCTCCTATTTGTCGGTCGACACGTCTCCCTCTCTATTTTTAATTTCCTCCAATAACAAAATAAATGAGGTCTCCCCCCTCTTATCGCTGCGCAGAGTCCATCATTTTTCTTGGAGCAATCATGAAAATCCTATTTCGGACAAGTTATGGTTATCCCAATTTATCCAGACAACGATATACCGGCTGAGGAAGATAGTCCAGCAGTGTTGGGATCCATGATGGAGAACGTGGAGATTCAAGGGTAGAGGAAGGAGGATGAAGTAACGTGGCGAGAGAGAGAGAGAGAGAGAGAGAGAGAGAGAGAGAGGGACAATAGCAAGGGGGATGAAGAAGGAGGCGGAAGCGCGACCGAGGATAGGAGAGACCAGGGCGGCTCGTCGCAGATATCGGCTAAAACTTTCGCATTTAACTTTTCCGTCTTGTTGGGAAACGACCAACAAAGCTCATCAGCGGAAAGTTTTACGAAACAAGGAGAACCGAGCGGGCGCGAGTAGGACGCAGTCAGGGAGGTGGGAGAGCCGAGAGAAACAGGGACAGAGACCAGTGGGCCAGCGGGGCGATAGAGAGAGAGAGAGAGGAACAGTTGGATTCAGAAGGTACTTTCAAACGTTCTCCCGTCTCTCCGGGCAGATGGATCCTTCTCGCTCCTTTTATAAAACTCCAACCGGTAACCTTTAACCTCTCCTTCTCTCCACTTGTACCTACACCTGCTGTTCCATCCCCAGAAGTCAGCCTAACCACCCCCCCTGTGGCTTCTTACTCCAATACAGGCTTTTCGGTAGCCACTGACGAAATGTCCTGATTTTACAAACTTTTCTCCTCTCGTTTTTTCTTCCATGCTGGTCCCCCTTATTCGACTAGTAGCCAGTGGACTTCTCTTGCATCCCTCCGGGATAGCTCTTCGAATCCTGAGAGATGAGGATGCTCAGAGATTCGAGAGAACGATGGTCGAGGATCGTGCCGAGTGGAAAATCAGCGCAGCCACGTGAACGAGGGTAGTACACGGCAACCCGGACAAGGGCTGAATTCCTCGTAGGGACGTGTCCACGTTGCTTGGTTAACTTCCTGATGGATTCTTCTGCTGGTAGTGTGTCAGGAATATCCAGGTTATTGCGGTGCGCATGCGCAGATCAGGATGTACACCAAAGCCTGAGATTCCTACGTTATCCGGTAGATTGGTAGATCTCGTAGACCTGGTATCTCTGGTAGCTCTAACGGTATCCCGGTAGCCTTCCGGCTACCCTGAGGCGCGAATCATACCGCGGATCCAAGAGCTCCTCTCTTCCTTTACGTCACGTTTAAATTTTCATTTTTCTTTTTTTTCATCCCTAAACTCACTTTCGCGACTTCCTGTTCTTCGGCCAGCCTCTCTGTCTGTCTGTCTCTCTTTGCCGTTTCCACTTTGGCTCGTCCCTACGTCAACTTTTACACGTACGTACTCATACCTAGAGTCCGGCAAACTTTTCAAACTTTAATGCCCCGACGCTCAAGTAATTTAACACGGGCAAATTAACTTTTCAGTTTTCCCAAAGTTTCCATTTTCACCCTCCCCCCCCTCCCTCCCCCCCACACCAGAGCAACTTAACCGCCTTTTCTACCTCGTTCTCGAGAATCTCGCTCCGATAGGCTAACTTGGCACCGGTGCGAGCGGACGTCTCGCGAAATACTTGAGTTCGGCCAACTTTTTAAGCGCCTCGCGAGCAGCCGGGACGGTAGGCAAGCAGAGAAGGAAGGAAGACAGGGGTGCTCGGTGGAAAAGTAATTCCATCCTTAAAGTCGGAGGATGGCCAGAGGGTTACGGGGCGAGACGCTAGAGTCACCAGGGGTTTACGAGGTGCCTTCGAACATTCCCGGAACTCGCGCGCCAGATCTTCTCCACTCTCCTCTCCCTCTCGACTCATCTCGGCAGCAAGAGAACTAAAGACGCAGCAAAAGTTTCGAGCCGGTGATAAGCGTTGCTCGTAATTTTCCCGTGAATCCTCGGCGTCTCCAAAATACAGGAGCCAACCTGATGATAAGGAAAAGTAATGATAAATTTGTAAAACAAAGAAAAATGGCGACGGGACTAAAGAAAAATAAAGAAAAAAAATGGTTTAATTAGCACGTACCCTTAAATTTCAATAAATTCCCATGGACTCGTCGACCACGTCACCCCGATAACAAATCTCCAATGGGATATTATCAGATTCCATAATTATTATACCAGAGAGCCTTACACCCCTCTGATCTACCCCTTTCTGGGACCTAAGGATCCATCCAAATCCTTGAGTCAATCAGAAGTCCATTAACGCAAGGATTAAACTGATACTCGCTTAAATTATAGAAGCAGCGTGCTGAGTTGATAAGTGTCAGGAGCGTCTTATCGTGATAATAATTATATTGCCAAAGATAACGAAAGTATCCTCCGACTTTCATGAAGATCCAGCCACTCCATCTCTGTCTATTGATCTGATGTCGAACGTGTTCCCTTTAACCACCGAGCTTATTAACCCAAACAAACAGAATTTTCCCACGCGTGACATGGCGTCGCGACGTGAGACGTCCACGTCGTGCCGAAGCCTCTATCAGATGCAAATCGGGTCTCTTTGCTTACAAAACGCCCAAAACCATCTACCGGCTTAGAGCTTAACGAGCTCCCGACGAATTCTAACGTAGTTCTCTAGCCTTCGACCTAGCCTCGACTACCCCTTCTGTCCTATATACATATATACACAGAAGACTTTACACCCTTCTAGCCTTTACCCTTTCTTGACTCATTCACCCCCACGAATTTCAGATAGCGATTTCTATTAATGAAAATCCCCGAAGATATTCCCACCACGTACATCAAGACAGTTTGCTAAATTGCACGCGGCTGTATTACAGCGGCTTTCCTCCTACGTGTTTCCAAACGCTATCAGTTATCAGCCACGCAACCCGGGGTACCCCCGTGCTTTAATCACCGGATTCGAGAAATTTGTTTTACACTAAGGAACAAAATTTCTACTCCAGTCTGGCTACACCGACTGCTACTTCGACACTCTTAGTGAATGCTTGAAGTTGTTCCTCGGTAGTCAGACTTGGTCCAGGAAGACAAGAGAGAATGAGATTAAGAGATAGAAAATAAGTAAGAATCCCAGTGATTAACTTCCAGCAGGAAGTTAGCTCGAATGCACGTTGCGCATTTTCATCCTGTCTAGGCCCTAGTCTCCACCTGGCTGACGATGACTGGGTGACTCGTGTCAGTGACGGGGGTGCTCGCAATGAGGCAACGTCAGTGCCAATTGTTCCTCTGGTGGTAGTGATGCTGGTAGTGTCAGCAGAAGGGCGCATGCCCGAGAAATTGGGGTTGAAAGGCTGCACTACGCTCCGAAGAATCCCAAAAGCACAGCAATAGCCACTTGGTAGAATTCGAGGACAATGGGAACGGCACGGAGTTACCTCATGAGACAAGAGCAATGACGGACTAATTAGTACATAGATATATTAAAATATACGGCTAATTAATAGTAACAATAATACCAATGACCGTATAAATTATAATACGTGCAGGTACCAGAGAGATATTAAAGATTAAAGAGATAAGGATTAAAGACTAACGGATCGATCGAATAATTTGAAGGGGATGATCGTTCATCCCCTGGACTGTTTCATGGACTTGTCACAGGGTGTACTTGGAGGGTTGAAAAAAAAAAATTTGAAAAACTCTACCATCATCCCTGTCTACTCGTATCGGTGGGAATGGGCGCTCTCGAAGCGCGCGCTTCTTTCAAACTTTCTCCCCTTGCGCAACTCACCCTCGACTCCGAGCGACCCCTCCATTCTCTACTGTAACAACCCTCACTCCAGTAGTCCCGTGTCCCAACAGGACAACAGGATAGGAAAACTCTGCTTTACTTCTTGTTAATAAAAAAAAAAATAAAGAAATCACTCGAACCTTGACGAACGATAAGGTCTAACCTGAGGGTTGATAAGGGTCCGGTTGGCAGGGGGCAACGCTAGCGCCGGTGTCCGTGCTGATGGTACGATGACGTGCGACGGTGATGCTGACAGTGTCAATGCCAATGACGAGGGGTGCACGTGGTGTGGAAAAAGATCAACTGACTACATTGGTCCATGCCGTCCACGTTCCCAGCATCCCCATTCACTTGTTGTCACTTATAAAAATCCACGACACCTCATTCACATGTTTATCCAGTAACGTCCACTGCGTCATCGTCGAACCCAAATCTTCCTCGTCAGCTCAACGTTTATCCGATTCTCTTGACAGCACTGTAACACAACGTGAGGATGCTGATGATCCAGTCGCGGAAGACGCACGCGAAAGAGTGCTACGGTAGACGCGAGTACCCGATAAAAAGGCACGCTTCGCGGATCGTCCGCTCTCTCGGAACTTGAGGAAAGTTTATACGAAATGAGGGGTTGGCCGAGCCGCGGTGGGGAGAAGGAGAAGAAGCAGAAGAAGGAGGAGGAGAAGTGGCGACCAAGAGAAGAGGCGCTGAGCGAGCAAGGGAGGCGAGGTGGTGAGGTAGTGAGGCAGGCAGGCAGTGAGGTGGTGAGAAGGCAGGAAGCAGGCCAGGGGTAGATGGGATACGGGGAGGGGGGGGGGCTCCGGTTGAGACTCCAGAAAGAAAGGGAGATCGTGGCCACGAGGGCACGTCGGTCGCGGTGGGGACGTTCAGTATGGTAAATAAAAAAAGTTTCAAGTCACTCGGACCAGCCGGCAGGAGAGGCAAGAACGGGGGGCGCATGATCCAATATGGCGACGGTCTGCAAAGTTAGCAAAGCACCCGTGGATTTACGAAAGCGATGTTCTCGTAGACGGGCATTCGAAATACGTCGTTACGTATCGCGACCTCCTGCGCGGTCCACGCGCTTCCAAACTCTCCCTCAAGTCAGGGGTACTACACGTCAATGGGACATTGATTTCTATTCTACTGGATGTATCACGCACAGTGTAGGGTGGTAGAGCGGCAGCCTACGTCCAGGGAATGACTCTACACGTGGTCGAACGGAATCCCTCCCGTCATTGAATGTCCCTAAAAATCATAAAAACTGTCAGAATATTTACTTCACGTAAACATGAAAGACTACGCTAATAAATAATCTAGTAAACCCACGTGGTAGCCTTATCGGATTGGAACTAGTAAGTAACACGTGGTCGAGCTCCCACCTGCTGACAGGAGTTAGCTACTAGACAGGTGGTGGGTCCGATTGGATGAGCAGATGAGTGAGTAGACAAGTAGCGGGCATGTCACAGCATCCGAGTGGATGGATAAGTAAACAGTCAACGAGGAGTAGATCAGCCATGAGCGGGATGCAGGTGTCTGCGAGAGAAGGAGAGAGGGTTAAGTGTATAGTATCATAGAGAGGGTAAGAGTATCGTTATATCAGTGTATATCAGGGTCGTGCGGTGGCAGCAGTGACGTCGCAGCTTTACTACCAGAGTTGGGAAAGGCGCGCGCGGTGACGGGAGCAAGTAGCGTCGGTGTCGTCGGGCAGCGCCGCGTGCCGTATAAAAGCATAAAGGAAATCCAGCGCGCGCGCAAGTTCGACTCGGGCCGTGTTTCGTACAAGGTATACGCGAGCGAGCGAGCGAGCGAAGCAGCTAGCGAGCGAGTGAGCGAACGAGTGAGCGAGAGGAGCCTGCCTGCCAGCCCTCGTGGGAGTCAGCTAAGGGAAATCAATATCTCACTAGGCAGAGAGACAGGGAGAGAGCGTGAACAAGAGTGAGAGTGAGAGTGAGCGAGAGGGACAGAGCGCGTGAGATAGATGGAGAACGAAAAAAAGAGTGAGAGACAAAGAGAGAAAGACGAGAAAGGAAAAGTCAGACAGAGAGAACGCGACGGAGGGTGTCGGGGGG